ATGGTAATGAAAATTGCCACAGAAGAAGGTACCAAATATAGTCAGTCCCTGTCCAGATCTTATATCTACATATACATACGTATTTTTATTACTTCAAACGTTATTTCCCTCGAGGTGACTCCCACGTTGATCCTTCCCCGAGCACTACAAAATTAGACTGTTCAAGTCGAAGATCAAAAGTTATCTGCCCCCCCAAATCCCCATAAACTCTGCCTCTTACGTTGTAACGCTGTAACTCAAGTCGCTCTTAGGCCTTGTACGTGGTGACCATTTACAAAAAAAACAAAAAAAAACGCTCCGTATGTAGGAGAAAAAACAGTCTGATCCGATGTGATTTAGACGACACGGTCATCGCTCGCACGGGCAAAAAACACACCAGATTTGGCTGTGGTTTCTCTTACAGTGACATTCAACAAAATAAATCAATGTATCTTTGTATACATATAAAATTTACGCAAACTGTTTATTTCTATATAGTAAAGCAGCTGTCAACCCGGTATCCAGCCGCCTTTGGAACAGGTTAGTGTAGTTTTCAGTTTATACTAGCGAACACGTCGAGAATTACGGCCTATAGAAATTCTTTGATATTTTAGGGTTGCGAGTTCGTCTCCCTGTCTTTATCTATCTATCTATCTATCTATCTATCTATCTATCTATCTATCTATCTATCTATCTCACATCAATTCCATTCATATCTATTTATTCCATTCCTATCTATCTATCTATCTATCTATCTATCTAATTCTGTTATGTCGTGGTCTACGTTGCGTATTCTTTGCTTATCTATCTATCTATCTATCTATCTATCTATCTATCTATCTATCTATCTATCTATCCCATATCAATTCCATTCATATCTATTTATTCCATTCATATCTATTTATTCCATTCATATCTATCTATCTGTCCCATATCAATTCCATTCATATCTATTTATTCTATTCCTATCTTTCTTTCCTTCTATAAATCTATCTATCTATCTATCTATCTATCTATCTATCTATCTATCTATCTATGTGACACAACAGGAGTTGTATTCCAATGGATTCAAAATTTTGAAGGGGATATGATAAAAAAAATTCTCACTCTTGGCTCACGTAGACTATGTAGAAAAGAATAGATCTCTGGTGGAAATCCTTATTTGAAAATTATAAAATATAGTTTTATGTGATTCTCTATTTTTTGGTTAAAGTGCTCAATATCAGAAGGGATAGGCCTTATGTTAAAACAAATGTTGATATAGAAGTCAACACCCTGTTTCGCCAGTTTGTTTCTTACTAAACGTAATATTGCGTTTAGAGTGAAACAGACAGTCACCTCTCAATGTCCACTCAATGATTTCTTTTTACATATTATACTTTATTTTATATATATTTTTTTGTTACACGCGTTTCGGGTCTTGTGACATTCATAAGGCAAAGAATGCTTATTTCCACATATTAATTAAGAGAATTATTTTCTTTATGTTTTCTTATGTTTAACCATTGTCTTTTGTGTATAATGTTAGACCAAATTCTTCTTCGACTAGTGGAGAACATTTGCCTCTGGTTAAGGTGTAATAAACAATTAGGATTGGCCAGGAAAAGTGGAAGGGAAGAAGTCTTTGTTCTTATCTCTTTAACACTTCTGCATATTTTAAAACCTGGTAAGTGTATATTTCTCTGTTTGTACATATATAAAGATAGATAGATGTGAGAGGGAATGTATATTTTTATGTACGTCTATCAATCGAATTCAGAAAAAAAGCAAGCATGAAAATACCAACCAAAAGAACAGAAAAATCCTTGGACATATATCGAGAAAGGTAATCTTGGAAAAAGTTGACTTCAGAGTACATAATAGGGGTAGGCAGCGAACCACCTACCCGACGAGGTTGATGCAACTCGGATGCGTAAAGTCGTATCAAAATTAGAAAAAATGTTAAGGGCATCAAAAATGGTTTGGAGATCCATTATCGACCTGCTCAGGACAAGACCCGGCACACCGTATTGATTGATTTTGTTTAGATGCGTATCAACCTCTATGGGTTATTTAATACCGAAATCTAAACATTTTAAACACAATCCTATGGCTTTAATCTACAGATAAATAGTTATTGTCGGTAATTCTGATTTTAAAAGGTATCGCTGGTATTTTTTTTATATAAAAATCTATTGCTGTTAATTTTACTATAAAAATGTATTTTTACACATTTATAATCATTGGGCGTTCAAAATTTACCCATAGCTGAGACCCTAACAGATTTTACTACCCCTTCTTACGGTGGCCCCTAGAACAACATAAATTAAGAGATTGTTCAAGGAACCTCGAAATCTCCAACCACCCGGTCAGAGGCCTTGCTGCCGGATGTAGTTTATCGTCATACTGCAGCACATAGACGAAGAAGACCAATAAAGACCAGTTTGATCATACAAGAAGACGTATACTGTTGCAAGTTTGATATCTGAATCTGTTGTATTTAAATCATAAATATATGACTACACTAAATTAAAACTACCACATATTTTCCTCGGTGTTTTAAATGAGAAACTTAGAATAATTTGTCAATATTCTAGCGGCAGAGACAAAGTAAACTGTATTTTTATATCAAGTTGAGGCAATAATCGATCGATAATGTTTCAATTTGAGAAATAAATTTAATTCACAACATGTTTAGGCAAATTAATGTATATTCATGCAAATGTATGCAAATTTAGGCAAATTTATAAGATCCGTATTAGCATAATTCTATCTGTTCTTTCTTTCTTCATTTCTGAAAACGAATATTAAATACGGTTGAAGGTGAAATTTTCAACTTAAAATATTTTCGATGTTTAATCTTTTAATGTTTTGCTATGAATTCAATGGTACGTTATTGGGCAGTTAACCACAAGGAAACAAGTATCCTGAACAATCATACATTAACGAGGAAATGCGATGGCACCGTTGTTTAAGATCTATCGATTCGGCTCGTAGACAGATTAAAAATATTGAACAGGCTTTTAGAAGCGTTGAAAAGTACTTGGAGAGAAATATAAGTAGACAGTTGCGTATAAGTATTTATCAATCCACCCACGAGGATAAAATGTGGCACAAGGCCGGTTTAATGTGGGTATCCCCGAGCCCGTAGGCTCGGCCAAAAATATAGTCTTTTTGAACCCGCCTAGACGGATTCATGCCCTGTCCAGTTGCGTATAAGTCGTCTAAATTAATCGAGATTGAAAAGGCTTACTAGCCTAACACATTGAAACACTGATTCTCGTAAGCAATATCGGGCCTAGTCAGTAAGTAGATGACAGCATGAAAATACCGCGTGTTGTAAGCTTAAATGTGCGAGTGTTCTAATGGATAATGGCTCTGAATTCGAAATCGGAGAGTCTTTCTCAAGTCTGTTTTTTTTTTTTTTTTGCTGGGTATCTTTCTAAATGTCTGCTTGAGTTTTAAATACTGGAAATCTTTTATCAAGATTTTCTTAGAGTTAAAATGAAAAACTATGGGAATTCTGGAATTATTCGTTTTTGTTTCATAGGTTAGAAGAGTATTTCTATTTTGTTTGGAAGACTTAGTGATTGATTTTTGATAGTTTTAAGTGGATAATTCCTATTATGAAAGTAATGGAATGGTTGTTCTATGTGATTTTTGTAATCCTCATTTTGTAAACTGTTGTGCCTTTGTTAGGGCCGGAAATAAAACACAAATAGTGGAATTGAATTACACAAATATACCAACAGAAACAGTAATACAAACATATAAAGCATGAGTGTTACAAGAATGTTCGGTCCGACTGTCAGAGCTGACTGTTAGATAGTTCCCTTTCAAAAAGAAAGTACCTGCTCCTAGTTATAGCTGGGAGAGTCCATGCGTACCTGGGTAAATTCTCATAAAATAAACAAATACATCTTATGCGTAAACATGATTTTTAAGGTGGCGGAGTAGCAGCTATTGAAATTTAAGTATCAATGGTCATCTGTGGGTTTAGTGTATACAATAATGGGGATGTGGTTATCATTTAGACGTATCATTACATCCAGAAACGGAATGGAAGTGGTGAATTATTCCGTTGTGAATTTGATGATTTGGTGGAAATTGTTGAGTTGATTTCTTTTTAAGTTCGTTGAAACTTTCTCACCGTGTTTCTCTATAAAGAAGATATCGTCAATGTATCTACGGTAAAGTAGGGATGCAAGGTTGTGTTTACTCAACATATTTTGTCCCAGGTCATCCATTGGTAAACTCGCATAGTTTGGAATCAGTTTTGTTCCCATCACTCTGCCTATGACTTGAAGAAAATGGTTTCCATTGAACTCGAAATCGTTGTGCGTAAGAATGTAATGTAAAATGTTGCTGATGTCTTCTGTTTTGTATTCCTGAAAGCCCTAGTTAGTAAAAAAGTTTTACACGCTAGTATTTCATACTCTTGTGGGATGTTGGAATATAGAAATGTCACATCCATGATTACAAGGAATGAATCGTTTGGTAACCTGTCTATATTGTGCAGAATTCTTAATTTTGTAGAGTCTTCGATATAACCCGGAATTGTTGATATTAGAGGTTTCAGGATTTCGTCAATGTAACCTGGAATGTGTTGTGTCAGGTTTCCTATTTCCGAAATTATCGGTCGACCGGTCGGGGAGATTCTATCAACTTGTGCATCTTGTGTGGATTTGTCCCAATGATCTCTATTGAGAGGTTGATGGATACGTCTGTGATTACTTTTGGAATTTATATAATTTAGGTATAGTGTAGAATGTTCCTGGTTTATATTGTTCCGGGACTAAGCCATTAATTTCTGTCTGTATACTGTGGTGTAAATGAGTAATTAGAGTGTGGAGTTCTTGTATTAAATATTTTGTGTTGTTATGTGTGAGATTTTCGTAAAAGTTTTGATTTATGAGGTAAGTCTCTGCTTCTACGTTGTATTTTCTTCTGTACATAATGGCGATTAAACAATCCTCATTAGTTTGTTTGAAGATTATTTCTTTCTTTTTTTTTGAGAGAGATTTTATGGTTTTTCGTCTGTATGACCTGTAGAAGGATGCTGGTTGTCGTAATACAAATTTAGGGATCCAAATTTTTGGACAGACAAAAAGATAGTCTTTTGAGTATTACTGATTGTTCTTCCACTGATAAGTTTATAGTTGGAGATAATAACGCAGTTGGTTTGTAGAGACATGGCTGTTGGAGTGGATATGCCGATGATGAAGCCTAAGTAGTTTGTCTTGATTGATTTCTGTGTGATGATGAGAAGTTGTAATTACTGGTCATATTTAATTAAATTAATCATTTTACTTTTTTGTGCTTCCGGCATTTGTCCAGATGTTTATTGTATATGATTTGTAGAACATAAAACACCTCGGAGGAGTGGTTGATTTCTAGTGAACTGTTCAAAACAGAGACTCTGTTATTACCTAATTTGGAAAGAGAGAGAGAGAGAGAGAGAGAGAGAGTGTGTGTGTGTTTTATTTTCTTTTATTTTAATAGAGCGCTTTAAAAGCATGGTTTAGTAATGGAAAAGGGTAGAGTTGTTGATTCGTTGAGCCTTGGATGTATGTGTTGTGGTCTTGGAGTACTGAAAATTGTTGTTCAATTTCTGTCAAATTGGAAGAGAAATCCTTTAAAAAAATGATGAAAGCACCTTACAGTTTATCAACAATAAATTGTTGTCCAGTTTTGTTTTTTTTTTACAGCGTTTCGCCATTTTAGAGAGATTTTCTCTGATCACAATGTGGTATATTTAATAAAAAAATATGATGGAAAAAAAAGAAATAGAAAAGTATCTAAATGAAATTGGCTAGATTAAAACATAAAAAATAGTCTAAATTTGAAATTCTAAGCGTCTATCGTTCGTGCGCATGCGCAGGCACGTCAACGTCAACAAAACTAGTCGAATGAAGTCCTTAATGACGAAACGCGACAACCTTTTTATATTTTCTCATATATCTTTACTCCTAAACTGTTCTTGATATATAAAAAATGTATATACGTAGGTGTATATGTAGGTATGAGTCAATAATAGGAAAAAAGAGGGAAAAAAAAAAAGGAAATTGAAGTACGCTTAAAATTTAAAATTTGAACGCTGGACGCAGTTCGT